TAAGTATAATGTGTTCAAAGCTCTGTCACTTCTGCATTATAGTTTTTTTTAAAACCCATTTTTCAAATTTTACTTTACAATGCCAACACCTAAGTAGCTGAAATCATGTAAATAGCCTGGGAATAAGACTCTTATTTTCATTCTCTACACAGCAAATTAGAACCATGTTCTGCTGCTGCTTTTTCTGTCCTTTTTTTCCTCTTTGCTATGCTTACTGCTGTGTGTCCTGATGACAGGTGATCATCTGTTACTCTGTTTACTTCCCTCTGATTCTCCCACAAGCACCTTAACCATTCCCTTCTAGTGGATGAATGTCAAATGCAAATCTGACTATGTCATTTACCTCTCCTTACAGGACCTTATTATTTACACCTCGTGGTATGAAAAGTGGCAATATTCACCCCAGGGTGGACACAAGCAAGTTTTTTTGCACACAGAAAGAAAATTTGGAAATGTTTGGTCCATGCTTTTAATTTGAAAGTAATTTAAAGTCAACAATGAGTGCTCTGATACAAGGTTTTTGATATTTGATTTTGGTCGAATTGTTTTTATCCCATCCTCTAGACATAGTACTGTATGTAGTTCCTTTAATATAGTGTGAGTTGTTTGTGCCCTTCTGACTGGACTTTTCCTGTTTACTCTTATACTTTACATGGAAAGGCTAAGCATCTTTGGCATTTCAGTGCAGTTGAAACTGAACACAAAATAGAACTATATTTTCTCATTCTTTCTTACGCCAGTCTATATTGAACTTGGTTCTAAATTAGTTCAACTCACACTTTTTTTTCAGGTAAGTATTTATACTTATGTCTTCATACTATATCATAGATCCCTTGGAGGAGTAGAATTTTCTTCATCCTTTTATCTGTAGCAAGAATGATGGTCTAGATCTGTAAAGTGGCTTTGTAGTAGTATTTTTGTAATTAATAATTTATTACAATTGCAGAATCTTCCTGATGTGATTTTTCTTTCTTCTACCATATGGAATACTGTACCTGTTGTAAGATACATATGTACA